TCGAATAATCATTTGATTTTTTCGAACAATAAAGAATTTTCGGACAAGCTTATCGGAAGATTATCAACCATCGCGTGTTTATCGGACCGTCTGAAGGAAATCTATCGAGCGGTTGTCGGTGATGCGAAGATCCGCGCGTTAGTTGTCGACCCGATTCAGTAATCCGCAAGTGTTGGTATGCCGAGATACGCATGATTTGGATTTTCTCGTTGTTGTTTGTGGAAAATGATAAGATCTTAATGAAGATCGGAATAATGGATATTCCATCGAATATTCTCAAAGGATCGGGAATTTTCTCGAGTCTATATAAAGGACTACCAACCATTTGTTAGCTATTTCACGCGTAAGAACCCATAAGGCGTTTGGCAAGCTTTTCATCGAGAAAGTTAGAAGTTTGACGAGAATCCGAGAGTAAGGTCGAGAGAAGATCGAGTACTTTCTAGAGAATCTTGGTAAGTATCGACTAAACTCTATGTTTATCGATACTTCATCGAGTGTTGTTGGTAAAAGAGCTTTGATCGGTGTTATTTTTGTAGATCTGGGTATTTTTCGAGTGTTTGTTGGATCCGATCGTGTGAGTTAAGCGACAAGAGGTGTCAAAAAGTGAATCTGTGTGAAAATGGTGGGAGCTTGACCGTGGCCGAGTCTTGAGTCATTTTATTGATTGATTCATTGATGTTTTCTTGCTTGTCATGATTTATATGTGTTATCGCGATAATGTCTTGATAGTTAATCGATGGTGGTTCCGATAATTATCTCGATGGTATGTTATGTTTATGACTTGCTTGTTTAACTTCTTGAATCGATAAAAATGAATGTGATTTCTTGACTGAGCCAAGTGTGACAGGACGGCCGTTCCACTAAGCAAATTTGTTGCTTACGCCTCCTTTTGGATGCTGGAAATGGAAGTAACCTTAGTGGCTGAACCAACTCGTGAAAAAAGGCAAGGAAAGGGAAAGATGGTGGATCGGGTAGTTTAAATAATTCGGTCTAGTATGTTGAAAACGATGTAATAACTTATTAGCGAACTTGCCGTTTCTACTAGAACCTCATTTGGAAATTCAAGCAATCTGTTTTGCATTATTGACTTGTCTATCGTTCTTATGGACTTATGTTAAGTTTTATCGGAAGAACCTTTATACCTGGATGAAATTTTGAAAATTCGGGTTAGGGTCTTTCAGTATGTCCATCCAGGATGAAGGCAGAGGCCACATATCATTACAATCGACCAACATATCGATTGACTGCTCGATTGGGGTGAAACAGACAACAAATATGTTTTCAATCGACCACTTGATCGGTCGGTTGCATATGAAGATGTTGGGTTTGACCCGGTTCATCTCAGGTTGACCTGGATCGTTTTCTTTTACTATATAAGTGTTTCAAGGATTAATAAATATGAATCTTATGCTAAATTTTGTGCTTGTTTTCAATTTCTTTTCTATCTTTGAAATCCTTTTATGAATCTTAAGTACTTTTATGCAATTTAATCTCTTTGAGATATCTCTTCTACTTTTCTGTAATCATGTTCTTTGAAAGATCAATTTAATTGCTTTTGGTAGATTATGATGATTTAGTAGTTGGGTTACAGAGTTTAGGGCTAGATAGTTTAGGATCCTTGCGTATTGTTGCTAAGAAGGCTAAATCAACCTTGATCATGTTGATTTAGAACTTAGGAATTTCATGTCCGCAAGGTGTTCGATGAAATTTCTGAACCAAAACTTTTAAGTGATTTTTGTTCCTTACCTTTGGAATTTGTTGACTAGGGTGATTAATGTTTAAATAGACTTGTTTATAATGTTTATTGATCATTTGATTGTCTTTGGAAGAAGTTGATAATTGATTGATTAGTAAATGGATTAATGTCATGGAAATGAGTTAATCTTGTTGAATGTTCTGTGACCTAAGGATCATTCTTTGTTAGAAGTTGTTTGAACCTCCATCACCCATTTCATTGTCATTGTAGTCAATTTCCTTAACCCGAGAATTCGTCTTTTAATTATTGCTTAGTAACTTACTATTTCTCGCTTTGTTTGATTTTAAAATTACTTAATCTTTTGGTATTTACTTTCTTTTGTTTTGCTTTGATTTATTTAGTTTAATTGTATTGTTAGTCAAGTTTAAAAAACCAAATCAAATATCTTTTTAAGCTTAGATTAAGTAAATGAGTATTTTTGGTGTGTTTAATTTCTCCTTAAGGTTTGATAATTTAATTGGGTAAAATGACTACATGAATAAGAAACTTAATGTTATTGCATATATCCATATTTGTTTTCTTGATAATTAATGAGTGTGTTTCATAAAAGGTAACTTCTCCAGATCGATATATTAAAAAAGGTAACAATATCAGCAGAAGGAGAAAGTTCACTTCTTTTGGCAAAAAAAGAGACAAAAATAACCCAATAAAGTAAAATGAGTAGACGAACGAAACAATAACTCCGGTTCGACATTTTAGTTACAACTGTATCTGGTTCTGTGAAAGAGTCAAGACATGGGTTTACATGTGCTAGGTTTTCAATTGTTTTCTAAAGTGTAGAATTCGATTTTAGAGGTTATTAAAAATCGTTATTGATTTTATTTTTATACAATAGATTATAACTACTTTTTTCTTCACTTTAAGATCCATATTACTATATTTTAGATCTATATTTATCTTAATTGTTGTTCATATTTTATTGTATATTTGTTGAAAATACAAGATTAAATGGACAGCCGAATGTGGACATCAAACTGTATTTCAAAAACCAATAAAGAAGCTGGAAGAAGCGTCTGGGGAGCTAGATGTCCATTGCATATAGTACATTATCCATAGTCTAAGTTTATGTGTACTTGTAATGGTGTGTTTGATCATAGTGTGCTTTTGAATATTAGAGCGAGAGGAGGGGTGACCAGTGAACCCGTCCAAGATAGAAAGGTTAAATGGAAAAGAAAATGTGGAAAACGAAGTGTATATTATCCATGGTCCATTAGGATACATTAGGGTTCGTTAGACAGAAACCATTGTGGTGAACGATACATGTATATAAACAAATCCACAAGTTAACAATCCAGAAGTTAAAAATCAAAAGCTACGAAATGAGAAATGAGAACAAGTAAGAATCAACAAATCATAATGAAAAAGTTAAAATATCTGATTTGATCTCTCTATCACTAACTCCATTGTTGCATTTTAGATATATTTCGCTTCAAAGCACAAATTAAAAACGTAAAAAAAAATACAAAAACAATACGAGGGAGAAGAAGAAGTAGGAGAGCAGGTGTTTGGTTACAATGGCAAGCAGTTTAAATGGACTTGCATATGTGGATATGGGTCATATTAGAAGTAGAAAATTATTTTTTTTAACCTACTAATTCATCATATATGTACAGCTCTATGTGGATACATGAAACACTGAAAAAAAAAAAGAAGCAAAATCAAAAGAAAAGGAAACGAAACAAGATGTAGGAATCAACTTATACGAGAATGTGAAGAGAGAAGCTAAGAAAGGCGAACAAGGTGAGTTATTGTTATGAACATTCTTCTCGAAGCCGTGAAGATTTCAAGACAACGGCGAAGCGGCGGCTAAGATCAAAGCGAAGGTGAAAAGGATTTTGTTCGGCGGCAGGGGATGGGTAAAAGCTAGGGTTTGGGGAAGAGAATTACCGAATGGAAAGTGAAAGGACATTAAGAAATGCAATTGATCAGTAACAATATAGTGTGTCCAAAGATACTAGAACACCACTAGCAGTCCAAATATGTAGAGTCCATTATGCCAAGCCCATTTATGTTCAGAAGCAAAGGATGTCCATTACGGGATATCGTTGACATTCAAAGCCAAAATTTGGCTTCGTACAGAACTATACAATAACATATGTACAATTCCATGTGGATTCGGCTAAAAACTGAAAAACAAGTTAGAAATAAACGTGAACAATATCATTATTGTCTACTTCTACACAACTTTTTACGAACAGAGTTAGTGAGAAGAAGAAAAAAAGAAAAGAATAATAGAGGTAAAATAACAAAAGTCTCGAGAATGGTAAAAGAGAGATAGAGAGTTTAGTTAGAATGACAATTTAGAAAATAGTAAAAATAAGGGAGGTTAAGATAGCACAATATTTCCTCTATATCACGAGGAAAAGAAGAAGTGACTTGTTTTGATATTACTTTTGAAAAAGTGACATTCTGTGATATATTCTCATAATTAATCTGCATAATGTTGACAATAATTAAAGGTTGAGATTTTGATGTATTATTTGGGGTTTTGTGCAAATAAACCCTCCATATCGGTATTATTTACAATACGACCCTCCAAATCCAGAAATTACAAGTCAATCATGCAAAGTCAAAATATATATGCAATATAACCCGTTATTGCTACTATCATGTTTGTAAAAAATTTGGAAATAATATATCAAAATGAAGCCCTCGCGACTAAAAGTTCAAATACATCTTTAGAATTATAAAAAATAAATATATGTGACCATAAAATTGTTTAGAAAAATAAATTTATTTGGTTAGCTGTATTAAGTATTATTCTTGACTTAGTATTATTGTTTTGCATTTCTTTCTATATAGAGGGTAGAATTACAAAAATTGATTACTTGAAGGGTTTATTTGCACGAAACCTATTATCCGGCAATTAAACTTTACAAACAAACCATCCTCTATGAGTCTTAAAATGTTACATGTCACAAAGCTTTTAATCGAACCCTCTGCCAAGTATATAGCTATGAAGCTAATTTATCAATTGATCCAAAATAGCTTTGGCATTATCATTATCAAGATAGATGAACTCATATATCATACCATAATACTAATCAAATAACGAGGGTGCTTACTTTTTTTTGTAGAATAAAATCCAAAGGCTAATTATTTTTGGTAGACGCCTTCCAAAAAGAAACCTCTCTTCCTACTTGGAGTTACATGTATCCTCACCGAGAAGTAGTCTTATCCAATCACCATTAAAGGATATGTGTCTTTCATTTGAAGAAGGTGAACCAAAATATCCTAAATCTGTTTCACACAGTGAAGAGGTTCGTCAAGCAAACATGAACTGAATACACAAACAATGAAGTGGAGTTAGAAAAGAAAAAAAGAGTTTACTTTTAGGTTCATGACCAAGTAGAGAGGACTGAAGCAGCAGTGTGGATTCTAACTCTGTTTCAGTTACCTGTTTTTTCCTTTCTGATCCATAAACAACTGATTCCAACAAACCATCATATAGTGATGATGATGGTGAATGATCTGTCAGAGAGGATTGGACCAAAGTGTTGTTGTCTAGTAGCTCATGTTCTCCCATTGAGTTAGACTGTTGTTGTACTACTCCATGGTCTTCATGAGAATCATAATATTGGAATGAAGGGAGCTCCAACTTTTTCGCCTCGGGACCAAGAGGCTCAGGAGGAGAAGAATATGTAACATCATTGCTATCCAGAAACTGTTCTGAAATGTTATCCACAAAAGGATAGTTCCATAGCTGAGTGCTTTGCTCAATCATAGCATATCCATCGTCAGTTTCTGGTTCTCTATAACGTTTTCCAGTAGACATGTAAGGAGGAGGTGATGATGATGCAACCAAGTTATACATATTACTAGGCTGAAAGAAACATGGTCTTTGCTGAGTCACAAACACACCAGAACTAGGAACAACGCGAAGCATCGAATGGTAATATGAAGTTTGGTTGAGTGGCAAGTGTTGAAAATCCAATTGAGGTATCTCAACACAGTCTGACTCCATAGAGTCTTGACTATGATGACCATCCAATGAATTATGATCACTGTTAAAACCAGATTGTGTTGCTGCATTCATTGCTTGCTCTCTAACTTCATCAGGATAAACAGGTAAACCAAGTCTTTGCTGTCTCTTAAGTCTTGTGTTCCAAAAGTTCTTTATCTCATTGTCTGTTCTCCCTGGCAGCTGAACAGAACCAAAGAACCCAAAAGATTAGAGCAAACACAAGAGATCCATAAAGAGGAGTAAGAAATGAGTTAACTACTACACATACTTCACCAGCCATTCTTGCCCATTTGTTACCCAATAAAGCATGAAGTTCGATAACACGCTGCTCTTCTTTCTCCGTAAAAGCGCCTTTTTTCAAATCCGGTCTCAGATGATTAACCCAACGAAGACGACAACTTTTGCCACAACGAGAAAGACCAGAGTGTTTCTGAACAGCGTTCCAGTTCCCATCACCATGTTTATCAACATAAGCTATCAAAAGATTGTCTTCAGCTTGTGTCCAAGGACCTTTAGTAAAAGCTTTCTCGGTTGCATTATCTTCATCTGATCCTGAATCATTTCTAACTTTACCCATCTTGTGTTACCTTCATCTGTAAACCAAATATATACACATAAGTTTCTCAGCCTATACCTAGGTTTAGTTTTCTTGGGAGTCAAACAAATCATACAAAGGATCAAAATTATTCATTAATACTAATTAATAACTCCCTCATGTCACTTTATTTATTAGTTATTAATTATACTAAAGGTTAAGGTTAAGACTTAAGAATCACATACATAATTAAAAACTTACATTAACTAAGTTAATTTAAAAATTTAGTGTTTATTCTTCTTATAGATTCTTCTTCATAACTATTTTATAATATGCTATAAAAAATAAGGATTCTTATTAATTTTGCCATTTCCTCACTCAAATCTTTTAAATGTGCCATTTTCACTTTAATTTTGTGGATTTACCATTTTTAAGTTTTTAAAATATGTATTTTTATGATTTTTTTGTTGCTAGAATATATACTTACTAAACCCTAAAAAAATATGGAACCAAGAAATCCCAAACAGAATATGTAAATTTGTGTTTTTAGATCTTAAAAAATGGCAAATCAAAAATATTTAGATTAAAATAGCAAAATCTGTAAATGCCATTGAAAAAAGTCCTTCTCAAGTAATTAACTCAATAAAAAAATGTACAATTTTTATAAGGTATAAGAGAATTAGAATTTTACTTACATAGGAAATGATTATGAACGTCTTGGAACATCAATTAATTCTCCTAAAAATTAAAATCAAATAAACAAAACAAAACAAAACAAAAAAAAATACGTTTATAGTAAAATCCGAATCAAGAAAATCCAAAAAACCGGTTTAAAACAGAGTCTACCTGCCCAAATTGAAGTCGGTTTAGAAATGACAAGAACCGGTTTAACAAGCGATCGGAAAAATTAAACTGAGGCGATTCCGGTTAACGACGACGGCGTTATGTAATTTGTGTTAATAAGATGATGATGATCAAGAAGAGATTCTTAAAGAGGTATTAGATCAATTTCAATGGCGGAATTGAAAAAAAAAAAAAAACTGACGAATAAAAAGCTTAAACCTCAGTTTCAATGGCGGAATTGAAAAAAAAAAGATAATGATGATGATGATGATGATGAAGCCGTACCTAAACCTTGGAGATACAGAGCTAATCACAGAGGAGAAAATGAAAGAAAATGAAAAAAAAAAAGGTTTAGGTCTCTGAGAATTTTAGGGCTTTAAAAGGAATCTAAATAAATATATATATATAAGGACTGAGAAATTATATTTAAAAAAAAAAAAAATGTGTAGAGATCAAAAACGATCCCTATAGTATCGGAAGAGATGAACTCGAGCTTTCTCAGGTTTTTCTCGTTTTTTGCATTTTCGTCCCTCGATTCTTACTTCTTTTATAGATTTTCTTCTAATTTTGTATGTATCAGATATCCACCTGAAATTAGTCAGATTCGCAACTTTTAATTTTATCAATTTAACCCAAATTTTTGACATCCAAAGGCTAAATATAGTACTAAATTTGGTAATAGACCCATGAACATTTTTGCTTGGTTTCCAAATTTAATTACCAAACAAGGATGGTTCTTTTGTAGGGAAACAATCTTGTATGGTTTTGTCAGAATACAATCTTCAAAAAAATATGACTGTATATCTCAGTACCTAACTCTGCTCATCTTCTTGCTTTGTGGAGTTTGAATATTGTTTCCTTGTAGTACTTAAGCTCCTTTATGCTTTCTCTTATATCATCCATTGCTCTGTGGTTGTTTTTCTTTGCAGGAGCTCTTCTTCTCTCTGTTAACAATTATACCACAAACATATCCAAACTTATAAACGTATTTGGTTATCATAGATGACATTCACTTTTACAGTGTTTTAAAAGTTACCTTTTGGGAACCATCGGGAACATAGAGCCTTGACGCTACTGACATCGACGAGTATATGAGGGAAAAGGGCAGCCAAATCTGGCATGTACTTCTGTAAAATACAAAGACTTGTTATGAATTATGATCAAGATGCAATTGTTTGACAGAGTGGGGATGTATTCAAGTACCTTTAAGAAAAGATAATCTACATAGACAGAGTTTCCAGCTAATTGTGGATTTTCAGAGCCAACATGCTTCTTTATGAATTCAGTGACCTGCAGCGCCAACCCACAATGTAACATTCAAGTTAACCATCACCAAAATTTAACAAACAGATTGAATGTTTCGTCTCGATATGAAAAATTTATAGAGATGCTCTTTTAACTTTTCGGTAAAATTAACAACAAAGCAGTCTAGTATTACATGTTTCTTTACCTCTTTCTCAGCTTGACTTTCACTTATCGTACTAGAGAGCACTTTCTTCGTCAACCCTGAAGTGATTGTCCAGATGTCATACAGTTTAAAATCCATGGGAAACAAAGAGATTCTTGTACAGAAAATATCAGGAGAGAAACTTACCACTAGCTCCATGATGAGTTTGGCACCAGTCACCCATTTTATCCATACATTCTTTTGTTTGATGTACAACTAAATCTGGACCCTGACAGCAGTGAAACTCATTCAGTAACAAATCTAAACAAGGCAATTGTATATATATCCACAATAGTTTCAAATCTATGGTGTAGGAGCATGAGTTTCATCTAAAAGTGGGTGAGAATTCATGAAAACTACCCTAAAAACAGTATGAGACACTACAATATTGATCAAAACTTAACTTCTCTTACAAAGTTTCTCGACATTATAGCTATTGACTATGGAACTTCCACTATTTATGACTAGAATCTTTGGCAGAACACAAGGTATGATAAGTATCTTTATAACTAGAACATTCCTGGAAGATAAAGGAATAGAAGAATATACCTCCACTGATTTGGTTAAATTCCCATCAGTAACTATACAAGCAATCTCCAATATCCTATCTTCTTCAACATTTAGACCTACACAATATAGTAATAATAAGAAAAAGTAGACGATCTAAAAGAAACTCAAAAGAATCAAGATCCTGTATTCAACAGTTTACTACATGTGTAAAGCAATCAAAAAGACTTGTACTTTCTAAACCAAGGAACAATACATATGAAAGGTGAAACATAGTAGATAAGACCCTAGGTACATGGTTTTTGCAGCCAAGCAAATTTATCAATCAAAGGAAGTACTACACTATACATGTTTAGATCCCAATTTAGAACACTAAACTAATCTACACCAAACAATACAGTAAAGAAAGTTACAATTGGCATTCAAAGGCAGAGACTTTATAGATCATGAACATGTGAGTTCAACATACCAGTCATCTCCAAGTCAATCCAGACCAGTGGTTGCTTGTAATCTCCAATCTCTGTTGACCCATTTACTCTCTCTACTTGTTTCCCTGTAAACAAAACTCAAAGATCAATCCTTTAATCGACTCTTCTTCTTCAACTCTCTATGTAATAGAAATCAATTGACTCACAAAAACCTAAACTTGTTTAGAGTAAGAGAGACAAAAGGGTACGAGGGTAAACAAGAAAGTACCGGAGGAGGAAGAAGAAGAGGAAGCCATTGGAGCATCTTCGTCGGCGAAGGCGAGTAGGGAGAAAGCATTCGAGAGGTTGTCCATTGATTTAATCGGAGGAAGCTGTAACCTAAAAGATTAGTATCGATCCGTATATACTAATAAACACATCTCTTTCTTGGAACTTTTGAAGAATTTGTTCACAGACTTTTTACATTTATTTGATAAGTTAGAGAATTTAATAACTGCTTAAACCTTAAATAATAATTTTATAAATCATTTTGATTTTATTAGTTTAATTTATGAATTTTATATATATGTCAAATTCATGTTTAGATAACTTAAGTATGTGTCATATACAGCAACTTCAATTTTTGTCAAAATTTAGTTTTTTTGCAAGTTACAAATGTCTCACAATAGTTCATTATTATTTTTTTGGTGAAAACAATAGTTCATAATTATCTTAAGTTAAATAAGATTATTAAGTTAAAACAAAAAAAAGTTTTGTAATAATTTTAGAAATTTAAGAGGTATTTCTAAAATATTGAATGTTTTTTTTTTTTTTTTTTTTGTCAACTATTGAATGTTTGTAATTATACAAATTTAGGAGAAAGTGATTTCGTATTTATTGTGTTTTTCTTTGTTCTTGTGATTTCCTAAATGTTTTTTTGTTTTTCTTGTTTCTCTTGTGATTTTTTGTTTGTTAAACGTATCATTAGTACAATGGATCATAGTAACATGCCACCACCACAACCATCATCATCAATGGCGAATCATACCTAACCTGCACATAATGGTGATGCACACTCTATGCCTTGTACAAGTTCCGGCATGTACAGTACCTATATCTTATATTCGTCTTCCTCCTCGCTGTAATCGCCGAGTGGCTTGCCCATTCTCCATTCCTTCGTGGCCGTGGCTTCACCAGTTGTGCCGCAGGGCTAGCTCAGACCGCGGTGTACACACTCAAGACAGGCCTTTGCCTATTAACTCGGTTGATATTGAAGTTTAAGTGTGTTCTTAATTGGAATTTTACTATAAATTATGTTACCTCATTCCAATTTTTTGGAGACAGAACGAACTAAAAAGAAAACACACCAATGCTACCATGAATCTTGATTAGAACTTAAAGATGAGGTTGTCGAGTCCTAAAGAGAAAAATCACAATGGTGACAGCTACATCTTGAAACTGATTAACTCGAACAAGTGTGCTCTTTAAATACTTAGCCAACAAGCTTCAATATGGCTTTATAAGTGGTATCACAGGTAATGCGGTTTCATATTTACACCTTTCATACACAAACTAATCCCACTCCCTTTCTCATCATTCAAACAGTAAGCCGGAAAAGCAAAAAAAAAAAAAGCTCATAAACAAAGAAAGCAAAGCTTTTGTCCCAAAAGATCAAACATTCATACATCACATACTTGTTTCTTTCTTAGCTTCGTTGTTCGTCCAGACTACTTGCTCCAGCGAATTAGATAGCTTCTTATAGAACTGCAAACACACAATCGATACTTGAACCATATGTAGACTTTTACCCTAAGATATAGTCGAAACAAAACTATGGACTTACCTTGTGGAATTCGAGAGTGTCTCCTTTCGATTTCGATACTTGAACCATATGTAGACTTGGTGCTACTTGGAATATCTGTTTGTCACACACCATACAAACAAAGAATGATCAAAAACTGATAAACCATAACCAACACATTCTTGAATGTCTAGTCTTATATAACATACCTCTGTTGCAACATTGAGATTTCCTTTTCTCCCAGCCTTGACATTCTCAAGCCTCATCTGATTTCAAGTAATACCATATCTTAGTTTATTGATTCTTTTCATTTCATTTCCTTTCCCTTTTCAGTGTTTTCACTAACCTTGTAGTTCTTCTTTTGCACATCAAAACCTAGTGGCTTTGCAGCTTCTTCTATCTTCTCGATGATCTCATTCGCACCTCCTCTCAATGTTATCCTTGTTTCCTTCTTAAATTCTTGTTCTGGATCAAACAGATTCTCTAGGTTAAGCCCTCTTGACATTGAGATGATCTCAAATGCATTGATCGCCGCAGGTTGCTCTTCTTTCCTCTCAGTAACATGATGTTCCTATACATGATCATCACAAGCCTTATGTGATTATACTATTCATAATATAAAATGAAAAAAAAAGTGGAACAAAAAAATGAAACTATCTCCTCACCTCAGAGTCCTTGAAAACAGCATCAATATCGTCCATGTTCGAGTCATCTTTCTCCTCGAACACTGGAGGCTTGTAATCTTTCTTGAACCATTCATCTTCAAAGACCTCTTGTGGTGTTACACGCTGACACAAAACCACATCAACTCAGTTTCTTGATTAAATTGCAGAGGGAACAAACAATCTAGAATAATCTTAGGTTATCAAAAGACTTGTTTATTCGATTAATATGTTTAACCGAGAATCAGTGGTTGATCTTTGCGAAAAAAAACAAAACAGAAACTGTGTAATTAAATGAAAGATGAAGCAGATAGAATTGTACATTTTAATATGTATAACACAGGTTCCCCAACTTTTTTTCTCCAGCCCTTTTGTGCTGGAAAAATGGAAGACATAATTGAGTACTATATAATATATATCATGGTATAAAAATGAAATAATATATATATATCTCATTACTCTCTAGTCATGGGGTTTGTACTTCTCTTTATATATATGATGAATGAAAGGTCATAAAGTCAATGCTAGTGAGGAAACTTTTAGCAATGGAAAGGTGTATGAGCATGTAAACTCATAGTAGTATTATTAAAATTACTCACAGTCATCGGGTTCGGATCCAAGATTCGAGTGATTAGTTTCATGGCGCCAAGTGAGAGCCATGGAGGACAGTTGAATTCACCAGATGAAATCTGCAAATAAAGAATGATGCCAAAAAGGGAAATTTAGATAGTGAAACAAGAATTGGTGGAAGATTCCATCTAAAAGAGAGAATTTGTAATAAAGAGTTGCTCACTTTTTTGTAAAGATTCATTAGATTAGAATCATCGAAAGGCAAGTAACCTGCAAGCAGGACATAGAGTATAACACCGCATGACCACATATCAGCGGTTGCTCCATCATAGCCTCTATCATTGAGAACCTAAGAACCACAAAGATAAGAGACTAGTTAGTTCTAGTTAGTTAAAAAAAGCCCTGAAAGGAGTAAAATTAAAGGATTAAGATATGTTATTTAGGCAGACCTCAGGAGCAACGTAGTTCGGAGTTCCACAAGACGTATGAAGGAGTCCATCATCCTGCGATCCCCATATTTTCGACAACAAAATCCGTAAGTTCTTAGAAAAATGGAAACCATTTCTTGGAACAATAAAGATTATCTAACAAAAAAACTACTATGGAATCATATAGTTATTACCCTGACTTGTTGGGACAAAGCACTTAATCCAAAATCTGAGATCTTGAGGTTTCCATAAGCATCCAATAGTAAATTTTCAGGCTGCAAAAATCACAGTAACACAGAAAAGTCAGAATTATTACACCTAATGTGTCCATTATCACAATCCTAAAGGCTTCCTACTATCTATAGAAATATTTTATCTAGTTCTGCTCATATCAAGTTACCTTAAGGTCTCTGTGGTAGACACCTCTGCTATGACAATAGTCCACAGCATGTACAAGCTGTTGGAAATATCTCCGAGCCTCGTTTTCTTTCATCCGCCCGTCATTTACCTTCATTCATATGTTAACACAATCAATTTTCAATTATAATGTGACAGACACCAAATTATCATCACAAAGTCACAAACATTTAAAACTTTGTGCTAACCAACTTACAATCTTATCAAAGAGCTCTCCTCCTGTAACATACTCCAAGATGATAAATATTTTCGTCTTACTTGCCATCACCTGCCAAGAACCAAAGCAATTTCCAAGTTAAAGATTACTACTTTCCAAGTACATGATTGAAGAAACATTGATCTGAAGAGTGTTACCTCATACAACTGAACAACATTAGGATGTTTTATCAACTTCATAGTAGCTATCTCTCTTCTGATCTGTACAATTCATTAAAGAAGCTTAGCAATGTGAAGCAGAACATTCATAATTAGAGAAAGAGAGACACTACACAAAAGACCTGTTCAGCCATCTTATGTTTGAGAACTTTCTCTTTATCAAGAATCTTGAGAGCTACAGGTTCTCCAGTTTCAGAGTTTCTAGCAAACTTGACTTTAGCAAAAGTTCCTTCCCCAATTGTTCTTCCAACTTCATATTTACCTACTCTACGCTTTACTTGCTGCCTCCGATTCATTTCCTTATACCAAAGATTACTCCCAAAACTTAGAAACAAAGAAAGGAGAAGACTTTAGAGGATTTGATTAGAAATCAAGAAGAGGGTTCAAAGAAGAAGCAAGCAAGACAGAGAATATCTCAAAATTAATTTTAAAAAGCACTAAAAAAAGAACCTTAAATTTATGTTTGGGACCGGATCAGCACAGAAGAAAAAGATCTGAAAGCTACAAGAGATTGAGAGATTTAAAAAACAACCCTTGAGAGAGATGAAGAGGCAGAGGACGTGATAAACGATGTACAAGAACTAGAAGAAGAAGATTGATAAGTTTATTTATTTATTTTTGGTGTTACAGTTCTTTTTGCTTAGGGAGAGTTTTAAGAAACGGACAAAGATCTTTAGAACTGAAAGAAACAAAACAAAGAAGCAAATGATGCTGTCTTTGTGTCTTTTTTTTGAGTTGTAGTACTAACTTTTAGGTAACTCTTTTTCTAATAACAAAACGGAATATATAACAGTAACTGATTTTAATTCAAAGTTATAAGATGATGAACTCAATTCGGATCTGTTTTCTCTTTTCTATATATTTTTTTATATTTTATGCATATATTTTTTTTTCAAATTCTCAATGATTTGATAATAATAGTGCATATATATTTTATAGATCAATATGAGTTGCGGCGAATTTTGTAGTGTGTGAAGATATTTTTTGTGATGAAATATTTGTTTATTGATTTATGATAGTGACAGTAAAAGATTATAATTTCTTTCAGTTTCTTTTAGTTGACAAATTTTTTTTTATTGATTGTTATTTTAAAATTTTATTATTGTATTTTAAATTATTAAATATTAAATTTGTGTTAATTATATATAATAATAATAATTGAAGTTAATATTCCTAATTTAAATTTA